AATTATCTCTTTTGAATTAAAGTTATTGTGGAAGAATTTGGCAAAATTATCTGTTGCTTACAAAGGCTAAGGTGTGAACAGGTAGCCATAGTGACAGTCCACTTTATGCGAATTTGTTTCTTAAATGGGAAAGGAGTGGCATTGAAAGATGCAGTCTGACGATTGCCTTTGTTGCTAAGGGTGCCTTCAGCCGCCTGGACCCGACCGGAGTGTTTGAGAAAGAGATGGTGGACAGGATCCCCTGCGGCCGGCTGGGGACCGTGGAGGAGCTGGCCAACCTCGCCGCCTTCCTGTGCAGCGACTACGCTTCCTGGATCAACGGGGCCGTGAGCACGGGGGCGGAGGGAGGCACCTGTGGAACCCATCCTGGTGATATAGTTGTGGTTTAAAATAGTTACTTAGCTTTAAATAACATCACACATTAATATACATTGCTTAGCTTATGGAATCAATTTATTGATAAATTCATTTTATTAAATAAAAATTACTCTGGTAGACGTGCCTTTAAGATTGGGTACAATTTGGAATTGTAGAGATGGTGGAAAGGAGATTCTAAAGAAAATAAATCAATTTAGGTTTAATCAACTCTGTCTTTAAAATTTGGAATTTGATTGAGAGACCTAAGGATGAGAAAGTGGCTAATGATTCAGAAACTTGAGAAAGGAGTTAGGTTCCGAGTTTTTATTTTCTATTTTCAGGTCATTAGATTTGATGGTGGAGAGGAAGTATTTATTTCAGGAGAATTCAACAGCCTGAAGAAGGTAATGCATTTTGTGAATATAACATACCATCATATTCACAGTCGGGCAATCGGGCCGGCGGGGGAGCAGCTAGCATCCGGGCACTGTGCAAGGACCACGCCAAACTGCCCTTTCTCTTCCCCGGGCAGGTCACCAAGGAGCAGTGGGACACCATGGAAGAGATGATCAGGAAGACAAAAGGCTCCTAAGACACCCTGGCCTTCGTCTGGGTTACCGTGGAAACGACACAAACTGCCTATAATCTTTTGAATATTTTCAAGTCTAATAAACTTTTGATTAACAAACATTTACTGAGTGTGTGCTGTGTACCAGGCCAGTGGTAGGTAGGCATTGTGTATTCAAGATTCATGAAATGGGATCTGGTTCCTTCACAATTATTTTAAACATGAAAAAGGGGGGAGTGGGTGAAGGCTTTGACAGGTGAGAAGTGTGGGGCAGTGGGAGAGGCCCGGGAAGGCTGGGGACTGGCAGGGGCCGTGTGGGAAATGGCGCCTGTGGCAATGGGGCCTGAGCGGAAGACAGTCTCGGTCTGGGGGGACCAATGGACTCTGCCTCCCGCTCGCTCCCTAGCCACGGGACCTGTGATCCTCTCTGGTTGCTCAGTATTAATGCAAACAGATCTTGCTGGCTTTCTGTCCGGTGTGTGACTAACCTACAGCCTTTGCCCTTAGACACTCACTGGCCGCCAGGCTGGACACCCTGAAGAAGGAGTTCTGATCGGTGACGAACACATTCGCCTGGCACTGGGCGGGGAAGGGACCCATCTGCCTCCGCGGTCAGAGGAGGGGACACTGAGGAGGTGTCTGCCCGGCCTCGAAAGAAAACCAGATTCGCTTTGCAGGAAAAGGTTCAAAGCTTGTAAGTGTCTTATGCATCATTTTATTTAAGCTCGTATTTGCCTTGACTGATCTGTCATCCTGAGAATCCTATCTAATAAAAGAGTGATATGCAAATTGACTGTCACTTCAACACACAAGATGGTTACCACAAGATGGCTAGCAGGGGAAGACAGTTGGGGGGACCCAGGCCTACAAGGGAAGGCAATTGGTGGGGACCAGGCCTGCAGGAGAGTGCAACTGGGGGCAACTAAGCCTGTAGGGGAGGATGTTTGGGGGCAACTAGGCCTGCAGGGGAGGACAGTTGGAAGGGACCAGGCCTGCAGGGGAGGGCAGTTGGGGGTGACCAGGCTGGCAGGTGAGGGCAGTTAGGGGTGACCAGGCCACAGGGGAGGGCAGTTAGGGGCAATCAGGCTGGCAGGGGAGCAGTTAGGCATTGATCAGGCTGGCAGAGGAGTGGTTAGGGGCAATCAAGTAGGCAAGCAGGCGAGGAGTTGGGAGCCAGCAGTCCTGGATTGTGAGAGGGATCCCAGACTGGAGACGGTGCAGGCTGGGCTGAGGGACACACACACACACACACACACACACCTGTGCACGAATTTCATGCAACGGGCCTCTAGTCAAATAAGAAAGCCATAGTCTCAAATCTATGCAGCTATAATTTCGAGCTTATGTTTTAAAAGGACTATTTTGCTTTCTGATGAATGGCTCAGTGCATACTCAGCAACTGACTGTCCCCTCAGCCCAGCTTCTGGGAGGGGCCCAGCTTACCCTGCCTCCTCTGAGGGGTCCTGCTGAGAGCAGTTCCTCCAGGTAAGGGTGTCGCTGAGCCCGTGTACACAGTCAGGTGTGCTCTATTGGAGAAGTGGCTTTGCCATCCCCACGGTACCAGCTCTGGCCCAGGGTGCTCCTTCCCTCCTCTTCCATCTAAGTGCCACCTCTAAGGCAGACCACCCTGACTTCCTGAGACTGGTTATCATAAACAATGTGAGAATACAATATGTTAGGAAGGGTGAAAACTCACTTCCTAAAGAAGACTTCTGTTTATACTTTCAGACACTTCTTTTCAGCCTTGGCCTTTTCATCTAATTTTTATTGATATGAAAGTTGTCGTTTGTGTTACTGGCAGGCAAGCCTCCTGTGGTGCCGCTCTGAAGGCCTCCTGGGGGAGCCATCTCAGCTCAGCTGTGCCTCTTCTGGACTCTACATGCCTCCCTCCCACTAATTCTGCCAGTGCAACTGCATCCACAGATTTTGTTAAATTAATTCTGGGTTCACATTTTTATAACTTTATAAATATTGTTTTCCCCAGTGTTTTCATAATCTCTCTTTTTTTTTTTTAAAAAAAGTTGAGATTGCATGATAAAATAGATCCTGTTTTTTTTTTTCATAAAAATTATTTTTTTCATATTTCTTTGTGTGTGTGTGTGTGTATTTTTTTTTAATTGGACTTTAGAGAGAAACACCAATGTGAGAGAAACATTGGTTGCTTCTTGTACTTGCCCAACCAGGAATCAAACTTGCATGCAACCTAGGTATGTGCCCTGACCCAGAGTCAAACTCACAACCTTTTGGTGTATGGGATGACTCTCCATTGGACTAAGCCACCCAGCCAGAGCTTTCATTGTTTATATTTGGCATACTTTATTTTTGAAAGTAGGTTATTTTATTTTTTGGTGTAATATATACACCTGTGAAGAACTTCTTGGGTATAAAACATCTTTAAAATTTGGAATTGTTTCCTCACAATGGATTCCTGAAGTAATCCTATCTAATAAAGAGTAATATGCAAATTGACTGTCACTTCAACACACAATATGGCTGCCCCCATGTGGTCAAAGATGGCCACCCCCATATAGACACAAGATGGCCACCACAAGATGGCTGGCAAGGAGGGCAGTTGGCGGGGACCGGGCCTGCAGGGGAGGGCAGTTGGGGGGTGGGGTGGGACCAGGCCTGCAGGGAGGGGCAGTTGGGGGCAACCAGGTTGTAGGGGAGAGCAGTTAGGGATGACCAGGCCTGAAAGGGAGGATAGTCAGGGGCGACCAGGCCATCAGGGGAGGGCAGTTAGGGGCAATCGGACCAGTAGGGGAGCAGTTAGGTGTTGATCAGGCTGGCAGGGGAGTGGTTAGGGGGTGATCAGGCTGGCAGGCAGAAGCATTTAGGGGCAATCAGGAAGGCAGGCAGGTGAGCAGTTGAGAGACAGCAGTCCTAGATTGTGAGAGAGATGTCCGACAGCTGGACATCCCTCAAAGGTTTCCAGATTGGGCCTAAACGGGCAGTTGAACATCCCTCAAGGGTTTCCAGATTGGGCTTAGGGACACCCACCCCATGCACGAATTTTGTGCACCGGGCCTCTAGTACTACTAATCAAAGGTTATAAAGCTTTTAAGGACCCTTGATGTACAGTTCCAAGTTGTTATTCCTGAGAGTGTGTTCCTGAGTGTGTATTTCTTCTGGGAGTTGGGGTTGCAGGTGACATTTACCATCTGAGCGCCTCCATCCCACCTGCTGACCAGGACGAGGTCTCCAACACAAATGCAGGGGCCTCACTCCCTTTCCTCCTTCCGTCCTCATCACCACTCGCTGCACTGCAGTCCACCCACCCGGCCCGGAATTCCATTCCTGGGCACAGTCCTCTCCATTCTGTGGGGAAGGAGACACGTCACTTTCTCCTGTTATAATACCTCTGTTACTGGGAAAGGTGGTGCTGAGCTCACCGACGGGCCGCGCTGGGCCGGGAGTGGCAGCCTGCCCGAGGCCCGAAGGCAGCACCGTGCGGAGTGGGCTGTGCAGTCAGGTCGTGCTGGCATCTCCCTATGGGCCGGGCGAGTTACACAGCATTTATCTTCAAGGTTATTTTTAACTCTTGAAACTATTTGCAGACAGAAGTACAATTATTTTGAACGCTCATCTCAACATGAAAGACAGATCACGGGAGACATGGCTGCCGGTGTGACTCAGCAGCAGGGCCTGGCCTGGCGTTGGGACCAGTGATGTGGGGAAAGGGAGAGCGAGAATTGAGGATGTTTTTGGAGGCAGCAGAGACACTCTGATGGAATGAGAGGTTCTGTGTGGAGGAAAGTCCCGGAAGGACGCGAACTAGACACCAGGCTGCTCAGCACGTGGGATTTAATCGGAGATGACAGAACACGACATCAAAACAGCATTTTCTAGAATAATTGTCGTCACCAACATGTGAAAACTGTTTAGAAAGTGGGCTGAGGCTGTCCTTCCATGGGGAGCGTGTGGGAGACACACAAGGATTGGACAGTGTGGCGTCCACCGGGCACTGTCTCCCCAAATTGCTTGACCAGCGCCTGGGGAGGTCAGGCAGGAGACGCCATCCTGCCATAGGGCCGCTACCTAACTACGGGTGTCGGTACTCCAGACGCGAAAGCACACGCCTGCTGGTAACTGGAAGGACAGCGTAGGACGGTCTTGTGGGATTGACCTGTGATTGTCTGAAGAGAGAATGCTTCGGTGAAAAGCTCGCATTAACACATCAGAGACTAGAGTTGTAGAGATTAATCCTGATGAATTGTTTAGGGAAACGCTGTCCAACTCCATGTACGAAAGCAGGAATATGTCAGGTTATTTTTTTAATGGGTGTATTGACTGGCGTAAGCGTAGACAATCTCCTTTTCAGTCCTGTGGTACAAAAACTGTACATTACAAGCAGTATAGAAACAAGTGGAAAGATTGTGCCACACACTGGACAGTTATCTACGGGCAGTTAAATGTACAGCTATAAACGGAAACAGGCTACTCCCTTGAGTGCACACTTGCTTTTAGAGAAGGTGTACCGCTAGCGAGTGGCCGGGTGACCACGCTAGTTGTCCCCAGCAGAGAGAATGAGGGCGAGGTCCGTCCGGTACAGCTTCCCCCCATCGGACAAGGCCATGATGCTCTTCTTGTAGTTGGGGATGCTGTTGATGTCCAGGTCCTGCACAGAGCACAGAGGGCATGCGGCCGTTAATGTGGAAGTGATCAGCGTGGCCAGGTGCGGGGTGTGGCAGGAAGCTGCTCCATACACTGGTCCCTGGAGAGGAGCTGGGTACAAGGTGGTTGTAAAGTCTATTGATCTCAGCCCTGGCTGGTATGCTCAGTGGTTAGAGTGTTGGCCTGCAGACTGAAGGGTCATGGGTTTGATTTCCAGTCAAGATTGTGGGTTCAATCCCTAGCCCCTGTCAGGATATGAGTGGGAGGCAACCAGTTGATGTGTCTGTCACATCAATGTTTCTCTCTCTCTCTCTTCTCCCTGTACCTCTCCCTTCCACTGTCTCTAAAAATCAATGGAAAAATTACCATTGGGTGAGGATTAATAAACAATAAAATAAATAAACATCTATTGATCCCAGTTGCCAAATCAGGTTCAGAACTGAAAGCTACTCCTGCCCCTCTCCAGTTGTTCAGAGTTCCAAACATGGTGTGCGGTGGCTTCCAGATGGATCTGGAAACCTGCCTGAGCAGTAAGAACTAGTAATGAGTTACCTGCTTGTTCTTCTCGCATAGATCCTTCAGCAAAGCGTCGAGCTCATGTTCATCGATGTAGCCATTGCCGTCCTGAGGGAGGAGAAGCAGAGCAGGTCTCCGACACCACGGCAGTGCGCCAGCACACGTGAAGGACATGCTCTGGCCCCGACCTGGACAGCACCCGGACCCCTCAGACCTCGCAGATCTGACTGCTCCCAGGTTCCAGTCGCCTCTCATTCAGCACCTTACATTTGCCACTTGCTCTGAGCGTGTAAAAGAGCTTCCCATTTAATATGTCTCTTCATGCTCACATCACCTCCCGGGGAGGTGCCCGGTCACCAATGTGCTCATATGAGGGAGGACATGGAGGCCGGGAGCCATGTGACCCGCTGGTGTCACACTGGTTTGGTCCAGGGGCAGAGACTTCAAGAGCAAATAAAGGAGGTAAACAGTGACCTTGCAAAAACAGCCTTTCTCTCTCTCTCTCTTTCTCTTTCTCTCTCTCTCTCTCTCTCTCTCTCTCTCTCTCTCTCTCTCTCTCACACACACACACACACACACACACACACACACGCACACACACCCATGGCAGAGCCTTTCTCTGGGTGGAGGAAACTGCTGGGATTCTTGTCCAGATTTCTCCTCCTCCTCTTCCAGGTGGTATTGTCTTTGTTTACAAGTGAGGGAACTGAGGCTCAGAGCACTTTGGTATCTTATTCTAAGCTTCATAGCAGGTCATCATAGTGTGGGATTTCGGTCAAGGACAGCCCAATTCGGGACACACATGATACATTTCCTGGTGAGAAGGAGGCAGCGGGGCAACTCATGTTGCTTTTCATAGGAGTCTGGAGCCTGAGGGTTTTCCCGGAGCATTTTCCAAATTCTAAGAACTACAACTAAGAACAGACTTTACCTGGTCATATAACTCGAAAGCTTTATTGAACTCTTTCCCACACATTTTGACACCCTGGAGGGTAGAGAAGGAGCAAAGGTTAAGATGCTGCTGGCAGGCTTTATCGTGCTTCCCTCAGCGACTCCCGCACTGTGACTGTTCAAGGAGACAGCACTGATGGCAGAGAGAAAGAGACATACCTGAAATTTAAGAAGAAAATTCTCCTGCACTGGTAGTAGCCTTTTGAGAGAAAAACATTACGTTAATAAATTAGACTTTTTGACAGAGGTCGGCTTGTGTTAATATTTGCGCAGCCCCTAACTCACCGGGCCATCTCCGTTAACTCCAGCTTCCCGTCATTATTTGAATCAAACAATTTCAGCTGAAAGACAAAAAGTCATTATGTAGCCATTGAATAATGGTTTATTGCATGAAGGACAAGAAAATTCAATTTAAAGCTGAGTTACGAATTACTTATATAGACAGCAAAGTTGTAGTAATAGCATTTATTAAACTATTGGTGCAAGGTTTTCAGTTCTATAACTTGTATAATTGCCAAAGTGTCTCAGAACAACTTAGAGCACTGTGGTCCCCACATGTCTGGAAGCCTGCCATGGTTTTCCGCCCAGATGTATGCATGTCTCCAGACGCAAGGGTGGAGAGGGCTGTGGCTGTCTGCAGGAGCACCCTGCCTGCCCACGCAGTGATGTGAGAGAAATACTTGCTTTTCTCTCTGAAGCATAATGGGGGACACCCACAGCAATAGGCAGACTCTATGAATAATCCTTGGAGAACAGAAGCTTTGAGTAACTTGGAATTGTTTTCATTCCCTTTGCATGCTGGGGACGCTGTAAAGCCCCGCCTGCCTGCAGCACGTCCATGCCCCGCACCGCAGACACGCCCCCCCGCAGAGCGCCTGGAAGCCCTGCTCAGCGCCGGGGCAGGCAGGAGTACTCTGCTATCTGGGATGGAAGAATGGGTATGAAACAGATCACATATGTACACCACGTAAGCGGTAAAGCATTATTTTTGTCGGTAAAGGGATGTGATGAGGTTAGAAGGAAGGTGTGCCTGGGGGAGGCAGATGCCGACACGTTTTATAATTCATCGTCCCACTGAGATCAGCACCGAGCCCGACACCGGCCACACGGATCAGTGCCCACGGGGAACTATTTCCCCACAAATACACGTCAATGTTAATTAGTTCTTGATTAATTTGCTTCTCTGATTTGAACTGGTTTATGACACTTAATCAGATATGCAAACTCCCATCTGAGTGGCTTTAAAAGGCGGCTCTGAGCTCTACCTGGAGAGGAGTCTTACTCTAAATAGATATCCCTTAAGATCGGACCGGCCGCGGTGGATGTAGGTTATGTCCCCTCCCGAAGCCGGCGCCGGGCCCGCCGTGGCACAGTTCTGTGCCCATGCCTCGGCCGGTGCGATGCCAGGCGGACACCTGGGAATGGCTGTCTGAAACTGGACGCCGCCCTTTACAGCACACGCGCTGTGGTGGCCGCGGCGGCAGCTCCGTTCGGAGGAAGGGCCCACAGAAGGGCTGGCAGGCTGAGAGCCGGCCTGGGCTTCATCAAACGTGATCACACCTTTTATAAGGGAACCGAGAGCCCAATGGACAGTTTTATAACATGCACTCACGTTGTGTGGGTTACTGTCTAACTCCACGAGGTCAGATTCCCTGCACGTCACAGCTAAAGCATGGACACACACGTGCTGGCTGCATGATGACACTAACTTCCAGGAGCGAACAATTGGGAGAGGGTTGCTGCAGCTGGAGCGGTTTAGGAAAAGCCCTCATGGTCTGACTAAGGGTCAGCAGATGCCCGATTACCCCTCGAAATGCGTTAACCTCGTGGGTGTGGGATGGCTTATCTGGGCTTTGTGAACGCATTTGGATTCATCCTAAGACATGGACGCCTGTGTGTGAAGCAGCTTTCTCAGCTCCGCAGCCAGCACTGACCCAGATCCCGCTCACATGCCCCCCCCTGACGTCAGGAAGAAGGCGAGTTTGGATGTCCTCGCCCACACCAAGGCGGAGCTCCACCACCACCAAACCAATGGCAGAGCAGACGCACATCGTCACCACAGGCTCTCGGCGAGCAGGTGGCTACAGGTTCTCTCCAAACTACCAAACCTGTGCTTCCCTCACGCTGTTCCTGACAGATTGGTCCAGAACTTCTATAACAGATGGCTGCCAGTGGTGTAACGCATACATCCGTATGTGACTTACATTATCTGAGTTATAGAATTCGTGATGTAATACACTGGCTTTTAAGAAAAACAAGTGATCTTTTGAGACCAAACTGCCGCACGAGAAGACATTTGCCGCGAGGGCCGCCCGCGGCCGGCCAGGGGCCAGCTTTCACGGATGGCACCCCATGCCAGATGGCCTGCACCCTGCTCTCTCCGCCACTGGCGGGCCATGGCTGCGGTCTTTCGGTGCCTTACCGTGAGGTCTGTGTGCTTTCCGATGCCTTACCGTGAGATCTGTGTGCTTTCTGGTGCCTTACCGTGAGGTCTGTGTGCTTTCCGGTGCCTTACCATGAGGTCTGTGTACTCGGCCAGCTTTGCATCATCCACCGTCTTGTTTGCTTTCTCCAGCAGGTCCTTCAGGAAGTTCTGTGGGACAGAGCACACAGGCTTCACCAGTGACTGCCTGGGGACGTGGTGTCTCTGAAGCCACACTGGGGGGGAGGCGGAGGGGAAAGCCACCGTCCCTGGTACCCGCAGACCCATCCCGGAGCCTGGACTGGGCGGGCAGGGGTCTGAGCGGACCTTGTGCAGCAGACAGCTCAGCGGGCGGATCTCCAGGACTCCACACCCAGCTCGCAGGGAGCACGGCCCTGCGCCTTGGCCTCGGGGAGAGCCTGGGTGCGCCCTGGTGGCCAGCAAAGCTCCTTCGGGCTGGCCAGGAGTGTCAGGCCGTGAGCCCGCACCGGCGGCTTCCTAATGCAGGTGGCACCGCGATGCCCTCTCATCCCCGAGGACACAGGCCGTGTGGCCGGAGGGGTACGGGGGGGGGGAGGTGAAATGGAGGTGCCGCCAGGGACAGGAGAGGTGTGGAGTGACCTCAGTGCTTGTCAACAGGAGCTCCCGAAGGAAGGACAGGGCAGGAGCAGTGCCAGCCTCCCCGCTGTGCCCTGGCTCTGTCCGCCCTCCCCTCCTCTGCTGGGGAGCTGCCCTGGGCGTGCGGTCTGGGGGCGGGAGGACAGCGCTGGTCCCCTTGTGTCCCCGCTGGGGGGTGGCCCTGCTCTCCCCTCTCTCGGGAGGAGACAGATGGGCTGACACTCCATTTCGGCCCCCAGCATTCCTCTTCAAACCTGAAGGTGGAAACTTCCAAGTTATCGATGAGATGAGTTTTATTTTGAGTCCTAGAAGGCTTCTGTCAGAGATTAATTGGGTTAAAAGTCCTCACCGGAGACGAAAATGGTGGTCACAAAAATAGCCCGGAGCCGCGTGGCCCAGCCACGCGCCCCGTTAATTAGCTCTCCGAGGGCCATCGGGACCGCTGAGCCCCCGGCGCCCAGGCCGCGGAGACTCTCCCGAGAAGAGCGCTCAGAGCGGAGAGGAGACGCCGGGGCTGGGGTTGGACAAGAGCAGAGCTTCTGCTAGCAGCGCCAGGCAATCTGCAGAAGGACTCTGGTTCGACGGGCGAAAGCAGCGCTGCTCAGCGGCACCTGCGGCCTCCGCGGGCCGACGGCACGTTTGCCAAAGACCTTGTTTCCCGTGATTTCACTTAACAGCGTCCGCCTGCCGGAGCGACGGCGGACCGGCCGCAGTGGCGCAGTGCCAGGCACCTCCGCCCAGGCGATCTGCCTGAGCGACGGGCACACAGACCGGGCACCGTGCAACCCACACCTGCCCACCTGCTCAGGTGACGTTAAATTCATCACGATGGTGCGCCCCCACACGTCCTTCCTGTGAGCGCCCCGCCCCGGCTCCGCCCGCAGCTGTGCACACGTGCCCTTCCCGCCGCACTTCGCTTCCCTGCGGGTGGCGCAGACGGCCCTCCCTCCGCCTCCCTCCTCACGGGGGAAGGACCCCCAGCTCACCCCGACGCCGGACCCCGGGCACGGCGGTGGCAGTGCGCCTGCAGGCGGTCTGCCCGGCGATTGCTAGCGCCTTTCTCCCGGGAGAAGCCGTGCAGGTGGATGTGTAGTTTATAAACTTCGGCTCAGGGAGGGGTGGGTGCGGTGTCACAGACAGCTGTCCGCACGGAGTCCAGCCGCTCCGCCCAGCGCGGGGCCCCGGGAGCCCCCCCCGGCCGGGGAGACGCGCGGCCGTCCGCTCCGCTCCGCGGCGGGGTGGGGGGTCAGGAGGCCGCGGCCGGGCGGCCGGGAACTCACCTTCAGCTCCTCCGTCTCGATGAAGCCGCTGTGGTCCGTGTCGTACTTCCTCCATGTCTGCGGGGGAGAGGGGGCGGTTAGACGGCCCTCCCGCTCCCAGGCGGGGGCCGCCCTGGGGGCCTCACCTTCATGAACTCCTCGCAGGACTTGAGCTGCTGGCACCGGAACAGCAGCAGGAAGTTCTCCTCCGTGGGCAGCACGTGCGCCAGCTGCAAGGGAGGGCAGGGTGAGGAGTGCGAGGCCCTCGGCCCTGGGCGTGCTCCCTAACCCTCACCCTCACCCTCACCTGCACCCTAACTGTCACCCGCACCCGGACCCTCACTGACACCCTACCAGGGGTCGGCAACCTTTAAGACATAAAGAGCCACTTGGACCTGTTTTCGAAGGAAAAAAAAAACCTGGGAGCCGCAAAACCATTGCGACATTTAAAACAAATATAACACTGCATATGTTGTTTCTTACCTTAATGCTATATACCGGATCGTGCAGAAAAAGGATTTTTTCACTTAACAAAAAGAGCCGCATGCGGCTCCGGAGCCGCAGGTTGCCGACACCTGCCTCACCCTCACCCTCACCCTCACCCTCACCCTGAACCTATCCCTAACCCTAATCCTCACCCTAACCCTAACCCTCACCCTCACCCTAACCGTCACCCTCACCCTAACCATCACCCTCACCCTGACCCTCACTCTCACCCTAACCCTCACCCTCACCCTAACCCTGAACCTATCCCTAACCCTAACCCTCAACCTCACCCTCACTGTCACCCTCACACTGACCCTAACCCTCACCCTCACCCTCACTGTCACCCTCACACTGACCCTAACCCTCACCCTAACCCTGCCCCTAACCCTCACCCTACCCCTCACCCTAACCCACACCCTCACCCTCACCCTCACCCTCACCCTAACCCACACCCTCACCCTCACCCACACCCTCATCCTCACCCTACCCCTCACCCTAACCCACACCCTCACCCTCACCCTCACCCTCACTGTCACCCTCACACTGACCCTAACCCTCACCCTAACCCTGCCCCTAACCCTCACCCTACCCCTCCCCCTAACCCACACCCTCAACCCACACCCTCACCCTCACCCTCCACCCTAACCCACACCCTCCACCCTCACCCTAACCCACACCCTCACCCTCACCCTCACCCTCACCCTCACCCTCACCCTCACCCACACCCTCATCCTCACCCTACCCCTCACCCTCACCCTCACCCACACCCTCATCCTCACCCTAACCCCTCACCCTAACCCTCACCCTCACCTCACCCTCACCCACACCCTCATCCTCACCCTACCCCTCACCCTAACCCACACCCTCACCTCACCCTCACCCTACCCCTCACCCTAACCCACACCCTCACCCTCACCCTAACCCACACCCTCACCTCACCCTCACCCTACCCCTCACCCTAACCCACACCCTCACCCTCACCCTCACCCTCACCCACACCCTCATCCTCACCCTACCCCTCACCCTCACCCTCACCCTCATCCTCACCCTCACCCTACCCCTCACCCTAACCCACACCCTCACCCTCACCCTAACCCACACCCTCACCTCACCCTCACCCTCACCCTCACCCACACCCTCACCCTCACCCTCACCCTCACCCTCACCCTAACCCCGGAGAGCAGTGCCAACTGCCTTTCCCTTCCCGCGGCCTGGTTCCTGGAGAGCCACTGTGCTCCCCGGACTGTCCTCGGGCCAGGGCATTACCGGCAGCTGGAGGCTGTGCCCGCCCTCCATCTGCAGTACAGCTCCTCTCTGGCACAGGGCATGGGCGAGGGCGTGCACTGCAGGGTGAGGGTGGGCACTGCAGGGGAGAGGCAGGGAGAGGGCGTGCACTGCAGGGGAGAGGCAGGGAGAGGGCGTGCACTGCAGGGGAGAGGTTGGGTGAGGGTGTGGTGTGCACTGCATGGGAGAGGCAGGGTGAGGGTGTGCACTGCAGGGGAGAGGCAGGGTGAGGGCGTGCACTGCAGGGGAGAGACTGGGAGAGGGTGTGCACTGCAGGGGAGAGGCTGGGAGAGGGTGTGCACTGCAGGGGAGAGGCAGGGAGAGGGCGTGCACTGCAGGGGAGACTGGGTGAGGGTGCGCACTGCAGGGGAGAGGCTGGGTGAGGGTGTGGTGTGCACTGCAGGGGAGAGGCAGGGTGAGGGTGTGCATTGCAGGGGAGAGGCTGGGTGAGGGTGTGGTGTGCACTGCATGGGAGAGTCAGGGTGAGGGTGTGCACTGCAGGGGAGAGGCAGGGTGAGGGCGTGCACTGCAGGGGAGAGGCTGGGTGAGGGTGTGGTGTGCACTGCAGGGGAGAGGCAGGGTGAGGGCGTGCACTGCAGGGGAGAGGCTGGGAGAGGGTGTGCACTGCAGGGGAGAGGCAGAAAGAGTGATGTGGGGAAAGGAGGCCGGGAAGAAGTGGGTTCCCAAGTCTGAGAAGGAAGATGAGCCCAAACAATTGGAAGGTTCTGGAATGAGGTGAGAAGACAGCTCCCATCAGCGGCACTCACTGGGCCTGCTGGGCCGTGTTCTGCTTGAGGATGGCTCTGGGCTTCCTTTATGATCTCCCTTTCGGGGCCCTGTGACAGCCCCTCAGAGCTCTCCTCAGAGCTGTCTCAGCTTAAATGCCCCCCCCCCCCCCCTTTTTAATGAAAGGCGGCTCCTGCTCCCGTTCCGGGATGAACAGGATCCTCTGGGCCGGGAGGGAGGTGGGCTGATAGTGAGCACAGCCGGGCCGGGTGGCTAATTGGCCTCCGGCCACTTCCATCCTCACCACTGGCAGGTGCCGAAATAGAGCCGGGCGGCGCGGTGGGTGCCGGGTCTGGGGTGGTGGGGGGAAGAGGCTGCGTCACGCACCGGAATGCACTCACCCCTTCCTGCCACGCTGGGAGCCCTGCCTGGGTGTGGGCCCCACCGATGTGGCTCCGGAGGAACCTTCAGATCAGCATGTGGTGCAAGGTTCTCCCAAACTAGCAACTCTCACTTCACCAGTTTCCACCCTTTAGGCCCACTGAAATTCCAAAATCTATCATCTATCTGCCGAAACTGGTCTGGCTCAGTGGATAGAGCATCGGCCTGCGGACTGAAGGGTCCGGGGTTCGATTCTGGTCAGGGGCATGTACCTTGGTTGCGGGCAAATCCCCAGTGGGGGGTGTGTAAGAGGCAGCTGATCGATGACTCTCTCTCATTGATGTTTCTAACTATCTCTCTCCCTTCCTCTCTGTAAAAAATCAATAAAATATATTTTAAAAATTCTTTAAAAAAATAAATAAAATCTATCATCTATCTATCATTTATCTATATATCACCTATCTATCACTTACCTATCTATCTATATATATCTATCATCTATCTATATCTATCTATCATCTATCTATCTATCTATCTATCTATCTATCATCTCTATCTATCTATCCATCCATCATCTATATATCCTAGTTTAACATAATCTGTATCGTTCTAACTTATGTGCAGGTGATCTCAGCTTCTTCATGCCGAGTCAAATGCCCTCTAACTCACCTGATTTAGGTTTTGAAATAACATCTCAGGTTAGAACATGCCATTTAGAGGTGGGCACAGGGGTTGAAACCTAGGGAACAGCCCCCAAGTCCCTGAGGATGTGAGTGTGGCTCAGCCAGAAATGCCCTCTTGTTCATCTGCGCGCAGGTGGCTGAGCATCAGTCTAGCGCCAGTCCACCTAGGAAGCGGACCGCCGCCCGTGCCACTGGCCCTGATGTCTGGGTGGCCGCTGAGGGCAGATGCTCTCGGTTTCTGTTCCCGAACACTCAGCCCCTGTGCCCGGCACAGGCTGTGGACCGGCTGATAACTTTTTCATAAAAATACCCACTTACTGCCAAAACCGGTTTGGCTCAGTGGTAGAGCATCGGCCTGCGGACTGAAAGGTCCCAGGTTCGATTCCGGTCAGGGGTATGTATGTTGGTTGCGGGCACATCCCTGGTAGTGGGTGTGCAAGAGGCAGCTGGTCGATGTTTCTCTCTCATTGACGTTTCTGGCTCTCTGTCTCTCTCCCTTCCTCTCTGTAAAAAGTCAATAAAATATATTAAAAAAATACCCACTTACTGTAACTTATATGAATAATTTGTTTTTACTACCTTTATTGTAGTTTTCTATATTGCTTAGATTTTCATAATTATTGTGTGTTGTTTTGAACAGAAAAGCATATTTTTTCTTAAATTCTACTTATCAAAATCCACTAAGTACATAAAAACATTAAACAAAAATTAAGAGAAAAAGTGAGTAGGCGATGACCAAGGGTGAAGTTAGGAAAATTTTAACTATCTTTGGTTCAAAAATTAAAATTCACTGATCTCGCGTGAAGTTCAGAGATCGCTGGAAAGTCAAACACAGAGATGGCAAAACCCTCTTCATTTTACTGTAAATGTCTTTGCCCATTCCATTTCGTCCTACGTGCAACATATCCCGTCTTCTAATGTCAAATGTTATGTCAAACCGAATGCAGCCACCCTGTCTTACAGCCGCCGGACGCATCGGCGCTGCGAGGGGGCTCCGCCAGCTGGCGTGGTGGTGGTGTTGGCCCGTGGGCCGCGGTCTGGCGGAGAGAGACCTGCATTCATCCGAAGAGTAACCACATCACTTTAAATCTTAGAACACATACACTTATGTGACCAGGGCGTTAAGTTTCTCATATGTAAAGAGGGTTAAGTTTTAAGTTTCTTTCCAAGGCCTGCGCGAAGCGATGGAGGAGGTGACTCAGCTGTGAGTCCGGCAAGCAGACCCGATAAGCACGGTCAGGCCGGCCCACCCAGAGCCGAAACATCATCTCATCACCATCACCTCCTGGCCTGACGAGGATATAGCGGAGGTCTGCAGACGCCCAGGCCTGCAGGAGCAGCGTTCCGTTCCCAGCTCACCCGGCCCTCACCCTAACAGTCCTGTCCCCTCCTGCTGGAGACGGGACTCAGATGCTTCTAGAGCCCTGTCTTCTTGGCTGGCTGCCTTCTCAATGAACGCCTCATGTGATTCAACCCCCTTCGTGATTAGACACAGCGACAGGCAGCCCTCTCCCCTTTGCCTCCCTCCGGGGTTTCCCGGTAACAGGTCCTGGGTTCGATTCTGGTCAAGGGCATGTCCTTCGGTTGCAGGACTGACGCAGGATTCAAACAATGGATAGTGGATGTGTCTCTCCCACACTGATGTCTCTCTCCTCCTCCCTTCCATTCTCTCTAAAAATCAAGGGAAAATACCTACAGGTGAGGATGAAAAAAAGAGGGGTTGACTGTGTGGGTAGCATGGGCGCCGGGTCCGGGACTCAGCATGTGGCCCCAATCTCTCCCTCCCGGTGCGGGCCTCGCTGCAGGCAGTCCCAGGCCACTGCTTGGCCAGGGAAGTGTCCTGTCACCTCTCCTTGAACTCAGTACGCTCCCGTGGGCCGGAGGAGAGGTGGCCACGTGGAGGGAGGGAGTGGAAGGCGGGGCTGTGGCCGCACAGACTCACCGGTCCCTGAGCTGGGAGCCTCTCACCCGCCCGCTGCCCGCGGAGTGCACGGCCGGGGCACGTGGGCTGGGCCTCGCCGGTTCCGGGCCCAGTGCCTGTAGCCAGCCTGACCCGGAGTGAAGGCTGCTCCTGGGCAGACCCTCCGAGGAGGCAGGGGGCGGGAGGGGAGCATGAGGCACCCTCAGACCTGCTTCCAGGGTCAGGGTGCTGTGTGGCCTCAGCTGGCAGGTCTGGGAGGTGACCGGGCCGAAGGGAGCTGTGTCCCCACGCACATGGGCCTGCACAGGCTCTGTCCTCTCACTCCAAACCGGGGCCCTGGGAAGGTCTTCCCAGCCCAAGCGACTGTGGGGCCCGCTGGTCCTGGGGGCTGTCGCAGCCCAGGCCCCTCCGCCGGTCCTGCTCTGTCCTCCCCTTCCACAGGAACTGACCAGCAGCCCAGCCAGCCACCCTCTCCGTCCGCAGCCTGCTTCCCAGGGAGCGGCCCAGCCTCTGCGGTGTGTCTGCAGTTGCCCCAAGTTCCGGCTGTGACCGGGCCATGCTGTGAGCATGCGCTGGGCTGGGGCTCGGTCTGCTAGGAAGACTCTAGAGGGGCAGGCACGTCAAAGCTGGAGGCGAGGGCAAGAGGGCGAAGGACCAGGAGGGGGCATGCCCACGGCAGCACCAGGGATCTGCCTCGGTGGCTGTGCTGACGCCCAGGCGCGGCACAAGCCTGTGTTTTCATTTGGGAACCAGAGGGACGTGTCAGGAAGCCTGGGAGCCTCCATCGCCTCTCCTTGGGTCTGGCTGAACTTGGGCTGGATGTGACCAGTCGTATAAGAAGTGGGGAAGGTGTGGCATTCGGAGGAGCGTGCTCAGTTCCCGGCGGCCCTTCCCATGGGGAGCGGCAGCAGCTGACACATTTGTGAGCTGTGAATGTGCCAGGCTTTACCTATTTGCCTGGCACGTGTTGTCACATTTGATGTCGCTACTCAGACGCCACCCCCGTTCACCGCCAAGGAGACTGAGGCTCTGGACAGGGCTGCGTCGATGGGGCTCTTAGCTCGAGCCGGATTAGAAGTTGTCAGCCTGACTCTCGATTCTAAGACCCTGGTCCCTTACCATCCTCACCCTAATTAAAACCTCAGTCAGAAAGCTTTCTAATAAACACTAAACGTTCTGTGTGGAGGCAGTTTTAAACCAGAGCTCACTGTCCGTCACTCCCCAAGGCCTCGGGGAACAGCACCTCCCGAACATGGAACCTCCAGCTCCGGTCTGAGGCCGGCTCGCTGTGCAGGGGCTGCTGCAGGGCTGAGCCTAAGCAGCTTTCCGCTCCGTCTGCAGGCGACTGACCCGGACTCACAGACGCAGTCGGGAGAGCAGGCGCTTGAGACCAGGGCCAAGCGCAAGCCCGTGGACCCCCTCCCGCCAGGGGAGCTCGGAGGAGAATGTCCGTCATCTCCAGTCCTTCCCTCCTGTCACCTCTAACCGCCCTCCGGCCAGCCCAGGCCTCTGCAGTCCTCGCCGAGCAGCCTGGCTGCCATGGCAGCTGTGAATCACCGTGGAGTCCAGCTCCCCTCTGACTGCACGTGAGCAGCCTCCTCGCAGAGCTGCCTGGTGCCCGCGTCCAAGCCGCCCCTGGCGGGTGGCCGCCTTCGTGGGACGGAGCTTGGAAATGGGCCTGTGCACCCGGACCCCCCCTCAGTCTGAGAGGACGGGCCTGGTTCCCCAGGTTACCGGTGAGGAAGCACAGCCACCGCTGAGGCAGCACAGCGTCCCTGCGACCACGTGGTGGGGGGCGGGCATGCCGACGAGGCCACGCGGGTCCCTTCCCACCGCTGCCAGGACGGTGTCTGTGCCCAGGTCACCAGCGGGTGTGTAAGGGGCCGCCTGTGCCGGGCTGAGCCAGGGGGATGGACTTGATTTAGTGCCCTTTCCTGTGACCCTGTGACCCTGTGACCGGAGGGCACCTGGCCCCGTGGTGCCTCCCTCCTTCAGCGCTTCCCGGCTCTTTCCCATGAGGCTCAGAGCCTCTGCTTCCCTCTGCACCCCACTGACACCCCGGCAGAGCCCACGTTCACAGGAGCCTCCCAGCGCCCGGCCGCTCCTCCCTCCCCTCTGTCAGCACCCCCACTCCTGACAGGGGCTGGGCTCAGAGCCGTCCGGTTCCTCACTCCTGCCTGTGGGCACCTGCAGGCATCAGTCACCCTTTCTGGGTCCAGTCTCCTCATCGAGAAAATGAGGACTTTGTTGGTTTGTCTAGCAGAGGTTCTAGGTGCGGGATCCCCTGAGCCTCCTAAAGCACGAGGGAGCCTCCCTCCCTCCCTCTCTTCCTCCTTCCCTCCCTCCCTCAGCCTCAGCCTCAGCCTCAGCCTCAGCCTCAGCCTCGCTGACCCAGGGCCTCTGCGCAGGCCCGGGCCCTGCATCGGCTGGCCTCGTTCTCCGCCCGCAAGTCCTGCTCCATACAGCGCCTCTCCGGCAGCCTGCGCTCCATGCGGGCAGTGGGGAGGCAGCCTCCAGGGAGATCGTTAATTACAGAGATAATAATAGCTCGTCCTGTAACTGTCCGTCAGCACTTTAACAGGAAGTGTATTCCACCCTGGCACGCAGCTGTCCTGTGAGATCCGTTGCTTGAAAACCAGGTTAGTTCTCGGAATCAAAGGTAAATTGAGACTGAGTACTGTGAACAGTCAGAATGCCAGTCTTTATCCTAGGGCAGGATAAAGAGCATGATGGCCCTTGTGCTGCGGCGCGTTTAAAATAGGAGCCGCTTCACTTCCCGAGGCCGGGCGCTCGCTCCCACGGAAACAGACAGAGCCGGCGGAGAGGGGTGAGGGGCCTGAGTGAGGCAGGGGCCCCGGTGCGGACCGGTCTGCCTCCGTGGTTCACAGGCAGACGTCATCACAGAAGCCAGGGTTTGGCAGAGTGTTTGAACTTCCAGGACCTCTGACAGAGCAACACGCCCGCTGCCAGTCAGAGAACCCAGAACCCAGCGCGGCTGTGCCACTGCCGGGCTGCGGCGTTGCCGTGTGTCTGACGGTGCTGAGCGGTGAGCAGTGCCGCGGCCATGCCGTGCCAGGGCCCCCATGCCATGCCAGGAGCGAGCCGGCGTCTGTGCGGGTAGGTCCCTTGCCTGGCCCTGGTCCCAGCGTAGCTGATATTTCTGACACTTAGGCAACGTAAGCCTCTCTGAAGGGGCTGCCAGGTCCTATCTGATTGAATATGGCCACAACGTGAAGGCCATTTGTCCAAACTGTATCGGAAACACGTCTCTTACCTCTACAATTCCTATCTTCCCATCATCCTTCTGCCCGTACTGGTCCACAAAAGCTTTCATCTCAGGCGACAGCTCCTGACATTATGTAAAAGCAAGAAAAAGCCTGTGAGAATAAGACCCAGCCCAGGCATGTGATGGTGTCACTAACTTATTGCAAAGAAAACTAGGATTGGAGCCATTTGGAACCACTCAGACTGATTACCCATTCTCGTGAACATAAAGACAACGTAACCAGTATATGCTGGCCTCCAACGCGGAGGCACAATTGTCAGGACCATTTCTGAGCCGATTGCTATGCTTTTTCCCCGACTCGTTTTGGGCTGATGAGCTGTCAGGAACTGAAAGACAGTGGTCACTGGGCACCTGCTTCAGAGGAGTCCGCCCTCGTGCCACCTGGCTGCAATCCTGGAGGCCGCACTCCTGCTGTCCGTTTGGACCAGCAAAGAAGGTGAACACTGAGGAGCGACTGGGTTGGCAGGTGGCATCATCGGTTAAATAAGTGAAAAGATGAAACATCAGAAAAATGTGTGTCAGATAAAAAACAACGTGTGCTTTCACTAGAGACAGATGCTGAGGACCTGGTCATGGGTCCTGCATCCCAGTGCTTCCTTGTCTCTGTTTGTGCGGGACTGAGTGAGCTTGAGTTCTATAGACACGTGGGACCGTCTTACTGGGTGTGTCCTGCAATCTGCCCCCTTGCCCTGCTGGCGGGAGGTCCGGGGCGATGGCCTCCAGGGCAGGCAGGAGCTGAGCACAGCCATTGGAAACAGCCGTTTAAAGTAGGTCACCTTGCCTGCGTGCCGTACTGGTTTCTTGCAAAACAAATTAAGGTCTCAGTTTTTGTCATAACTAGAAAGAGGCAGCATTTGCTCTAGGGATAAACCAGATAATATAATCTAAGGGCTATTTTGAGGCTGAATATCATTACTACAAGTTTAACAAAATCCTTTCTGAACCAAAGTAAATATTGTTGGTAGAACTGAAGAAACAGATAGTAATTAAGCAATTTAATTATAATGTAGTCTTAAAAAACAAACACACAAGCAAACAAAAAACTCTTCTAGCCCAGTCAGTGTGGCTCAGTGGTTGAGCCTGACCCATGAACCAAGAGGCCATTGGTTGAATTCCTGGCCAGAGCACATACCCGTGTTGCACTTGATCCCCAGTGGGGGGCGTGCAGGAGAATCAACGATGTTTCTCTTATCGATGTTTCTATCTCTCTATCCCTTCCCTTCCTCTCTCTAAAAATAAATAAAAGCATATTTAAAATAAAACCTCCTCCAGTGTGGATTAATTTTAACTTGTCTTTATTAAATTTTACTATAGCAATAACTGTAAGAAAGTGAGAGTGGCCCGGCCGGCATGGCTCAGTTGAGCATTGACCTATGAACCCAGGAGGTCAGGGTTTGATTTCGGTCAGGACACATGCCTGGCTTGCAGGCTCCATCTCCAGTGTGGGGCATGCAGGAGGCAGCTGATCCATGATTTTTTCTCACCATTGATCTTCTTATCTCTCTCTCTCTCTCTCTCTCCCCTTTCCTTTCTGAAATCAATAAAAATGCATTTTTTTTTAAAGTGAGAGTGACTGTAGTGTGACTGTCCATTCTAATGTACAGTTCTTAAGTATATAGAGAACAAAGCATTTGTTCTTAAATCCTAAGATCATCTTAGAAAAAACAGTCAATAATCAGGGGACCAAGCATCTTGATATAACCCCATGTCTTTGTTCAGATTAGGTATTGTTGGATTATAATCTAGTAATTAAGGTTTCAAGTATTCTAAAATTGGAGTCTAGGCAGTAGGAAAAGAAAGTTATGCTCTAAAATCTTCAAATCTATAACATAAAATCAGTATTTACAAAAAAATATAAATATTAAAATGGAAAGAGAAAAAGAAAAAACTGAAAAAATGTATAATTTCTAAATATTTGAATTTCTAAGATGAAAATAAATCTCAATTTTAAAATTACTTCTAGAAAAATTAAAATATATTCATTTATTTGCTGGAAGCAACTTATAAGCCTTCAATTTGAAATTTTTTAACAAGTAAGATTTTTTCCAACCAAATATTTTAAATATGTATTTTGAATGATGAAGAGACTTGTTTTTGCTTTATTAGTAAAAGATGATAGAGCTGTAATGACAGTATTGCATAAGTTCATGTACATGGTAGTGTGTAAGGAGGGGGGAGAAAGCACAAGTGAAACATTTTCTATCTTCCTGACCCCGTTCAGTAGTGCCTCCAGGTTACAGAGTCTAAATCTGCTGAGACAGCCCCCAGTGTGTTGTCTGGCTTTCAGTCGCTTCTGTCAGTGCTTTTAGCAACTGGTAGTTCAGTGACGCGTTGCATTTCAGAGTCCTCTGGGTTCTTTCTGAACATGTTGAACAGAGATGAAAGTGATATGTATGTAATTTTAAATTACATGTAACTCCGTGCTAGAGGTGGGGATCTACTAGGAGTCACACACACCGACATTTTCCTCCAAATATATATACGGGGTGAGGCAAAAGTAGGGCTACAGCCACGAGTACACACAACACTGTTTATTCTTATGTTATTTATTAATTATTGTGCTATTTTCCATACAAACAACTGTAAACCTACTTCTGCCCCATCTTGCATACATAATCTCTTTCTAGTGATAGTTAAAAAAGCCAGATACTATCTAATAGCCCCACTCCAGCACTGCTTCTGAAACGCAGGCTCATAAATCCCAACTGGTTAATAAAATTCTTAACCTATTTTCCTTTATACAGTCATCTTGTCTGCGATTTAAAGGTGGTACTTTATTTTTATGCTGGCAACATATTTTCCTAACAGCATCACCAAAGGAGGGCATCAGAGTTGGTAGGGCTTGTTTAGTTAGCTGATGGCTTAAGTTACAAACACAGCTATCTTCAAAACGCCACTAATTGCTTACCAGCAGAGCATCACTTTTAAAACACTGACTTGTTAGGATTTCTTCACTTTTCACATTTCTAACTTTGTGATTCCCCCTTTGGCAGAAATGAACACCTTTCTTTCTACATTTTTGCTTATTGTCATGTTCTGCTTTCCCCGGGAGGAAGGTCCTTTCCGATCTCCAGCCACTTCCCCGTCAAACAATCCCTGCCCATGGGAACTGTCTTGTCTGCGGTCTGCTTCCTGGCCACCGAGGGGCAGAGCGGGTGTGCCGTGCTCACTCAGATCCAGGGAAGTTAGGATTACCTAACCAGCCTGGTACCTGACCAGCCTGGTACCTGACCAGCCTGGCACCTGACTAGCCTGGTCCGCGCGGACCCGCAGGGCTGCACGCACACTGCCTCGTAGGCACCCAAGGCGGTGCAGGCACAGAAGCTGGACTTCGAGCTCAGGTTTCAGATTGCAGGGACTCGCTTTTCTCTCTGACTCTGTCCTCTCTCTGTGTCTCTCCCTTTCTCTATATTTCTCTGTCTCGGACTGTTTCTCTCTCTTCCTCTGTTCTCTGTTTCTCTCTATCTCCCCCTCTATCTGTTCCTCTGTCCCACCCCCTTCTCTGTCTCCTCCTCTCTGTTTCTGTCTCCCCCTTTCTGTCTCTGTCTCCTCCTCTCTCTGTTTCTGTCTCCCCCTCTGTTCCTGTCTCCCCCTTTCTCTGTCTCTGTCTCCCCCCTCTCTGTCTCTGTCTCCCCCTGTCTCTGTCTCCTCCTCTCTCTGTTTCTGTCTCCCCCTCTCTCTGTCTCCATCTCTGTCTCCCCCTCCCCCTCTCTCTGTCTCTGTCTCCCCCTCTCTCTGTCTCCCCCTCTCTCCATCTCTGTCTCCCCCTCTGTCTCTGTCTCTTCTCTTCACTGGACACACGTTGGAAAAGCCGCTTCTCCCCCTCTCTCGGTCATGGAACTCACACTCCCTAGAAACCGCTGGCCCTGCTGGCTCTGATGCGAATGTAGAACATCTGTATTTTCCTCCGTTGGACTCAACCTACCAGCCCCGCCTTCTTCCGCGCCCGCTGGAGCTCCTGGACCAGGCTCTGCAGCTCCATGCCTTCCAGATACCCACTCCCTGCAAGACAGAGGCCCAGGGGTCAGACACCCGTTGTCCCTTCCTGTCAGTGTCCACCCCAGAGGTCCCGTCCCCCGGAACCTGGATTGCCCAGGTGTGGGGGGCTGAGCATGCACAGGACCTTTGAGGAGCAGTTCCCCAAACCCTGTGCCCCACTTTCTTGGACAGAAATAATTTTACGGTTCAGAATAATGTAGACGCAATATAGAAACTACCAAGTTCAGAATTAAGCCAGCCTGGAGGTAAGATTGGGGAGCGGGAGGAGGGAGAAGTAAAGGAAAGAAGCTGAGGAGTGGGGAGGCTGGGGAAGGGAAGGATGGACAGGGGGTGGTGGAGAGGGGGAGAGGAGGAATGGGTGAGGGAGGGATGGACAGGGGGTGGTGGAGAGGTGGAGAGGAGGATGGGGAGAGAGGGATGGACAGGGGTGATGGAGAGGAGGAAAGGAGGATGGGGAAGAGAGGGATGGACAGGGGGTGATGGAGAGGTGGAGAGGAAGATGGGGAAGGGAGGGATGGACAGGGGTGATGGAGAGGAGGAAAGGAGGATGGGGAAGAGAGGGATGGACAGGGGGTGATGGAGAGGTGGAGAGGAGGATGGGGAGAGAGGGATGGACAGGGTGATGGAGAGGTGGAGAGGAAGATGGGGAAGGGAGGGATGGACAGGGGTGATGGAGAGGAAGGGATGGACAGGGGGTGATGAAGAAGTGGAGAGGAGATAGTTACCGTCAGCGTCGAAGTGAAGCCAGATCTCGAAAAACTGTGAGGCCGAGATGAGGGGAGACTGCAAGTGGGACTCTGCCATTGCGCCTCGGAGTGTCAGCGGACACGAGTGGACGGTGCGCACGGGAGTGGCGGGCCGGGCGCTGTCCGCGGTGCTGCTCAGCCCAGCGCAGCGCAGGCAGCTCAGCTCAGCTCAGCCTGGGTCCCCGGGCTCCAGCCTTTATCCCCCGCCCCCCGCCCCCACCGCTCCCACCGCCCCGCCCACCGCCCCCCACCGCCCCGCCCACAGCCTCACAGCCCCCATCGCCCCGCCCACAGCCCCGCCCACCGCCCACCGCCCACAGCCACCCCGCGCCTCCCACAGCCACCAGGCGCCGCCCGCCCATCATCCGCAGCCTCCCCCACGGGGTCCAGCACTCCCCCCCCCCCCCCCGCCCCGGAAGCAGCAGGCCAGGAGTCCCCCACACTGGCTGGCGCGGACACCTCTCCCTCGGAGGACTGGAGGGACCTGAGGACCGTGCGGGCGGCGGAGGCAGAGGCGGGACTTGCTGGGGACACTCAGGCAGCTGGCCGCTACCAGAGGCATCTGAGCAGCGACCGCAGTCACACCCACCTATGCTTTACCGGGAGCCGCCCTCAATCTCTTTTCAGCGGGGTTATGAGAACAAGCTGTGCTACCTGAGATAGCAGGGTTATGTGATCTTATTTTATGCTTGAAGTAGAATTATAATTGGAAAGTAATAGAACTAAATGACAAACTCCTAAAATGTTAGAGAAGGAAGTGGTCTTGGAGATACTACGGCCTACCTCCTTGAGTTTGGAAAAAGAAAGTAAAGCAGAGACACCAAGCACCTAGTCCGAGCACCATGCCCAGGGGGTCAGGGCCCCCTTCTCCCCCCCAGAGCTGAGCCTCCCTGTTAAGGAGTTTTGTTTGTTTGTTTTTTTTAAAATGTATTTTATTGATTTTTTTACAGAGGAAGAGAGAGAAATAGAGAGTTAGAAACATTGATCAGCTCCCTCCTGCACATGCCCTTGACTGAAATCGAACCTGGGATCTTTCAGGTTCCACTGAGCCAAACCGGAGTTTTTGAGAAACGTGAAGTTACCATCAAAGTTGGGAAATACATTTGTGTATTTCAGTGTAACAAATGATATATTCAGATGATTTCTTATTTACATAAATACTTCTTAAGTAGTATTTGGTTTTTAATCTTTCGAGGTCCACTGAGGCTGTGCCTTACGATCACAGCGGAACACTATCAAAGTGGAGGCACAAGAGAAAACCCAAACATGGGAACACAGCCACCATGTGGACTCCCACGCTCTGCTTTGTGTCCTGTGTGACTGAGTCTGAGGAGCACAGCCCTGCGCTCCTGAGGCGGAGCCTCTCCCAGCTGTGGGCTGGGCACTTCTTTCAGAGCCCATCATTTCAAAGCTGGGCTCTCACCTTTGCACAGCGCCCTCTCTCCACAAGACTGGCACCAGCAGGTGACTCACACTGCAGCTGCCTTCTGGGAGGCTCACGTTTGGTCTCCAAGCTGTGATGCAGAGCGATACTTGTGTTCTTGTTTTACTCAAGAAGTAGATAAACTGTATTCTTGTACCAAATAGGTAGTCATTAATACTCAATTACTTACATTTTCAGTCATGCAATGAACATTTATTAGTACGTATATGCCAAGCGGTCTGCTAGGCAGTGAAAGCCACGGAGAGGCCTGGCCCGTACTTGCTAAATGCTTAGTCTCGTGGGGGTCATGACCAGACCCACGGCAGGGTGTCTGGATAGGATGGGAGCTGGCGCACGCCTCCTGCTCTGCATGTGGAGCTGAGGCTGGGGTCGCTGACTTGCTCGAGAGCTCGTGCCCCGCCCTGGCGGCTGTTGGCTCTGAGGAGAGGTGGTCAGCAGCTCCTGGAGAGGAGTTCTCCGAAAGGCGCTGTGCTGCTGCCTCTCCCAGCAGGCCGAGGATGGCAGGTGCCGGAGTGGGCCTGGAAGCAGATGCTAGAAGTAACCTTGCAACCAGGCTGAGCTCTGGCCGACAGGGGAGCCTGGCGAGCAGCTCAGGAAGCACTCAGCGAGCTGTGTCTGGACTCGGGCGCATGGGGCCAGAGGGCCAGAGAGGGGCCATGGCAAACCGCTGGGAAGGGAACACACTCCATTCTTGTAATTACAACCAGCCCTTCCTGCCCCGCCCACTTCATACAGGGTTCCTAAATAGACCCACCACGGCTATTTTTAGAGTTTCATATTAAGATCCAAAAATATTACATGGTAACTGTTTAAAAGCAGAAAAAGACAAGCATATGAAAACTCACTCACTCACTCTTCCATTCCAAGTCTCTGAGGCTGCAAAGATTCAGAACTTCCATGTTGCGTGTCCAGGCGGTGACGCCGGGGTATGGGGAGCTGTGTGCAAGCAGCAAGCACTCTTTTCACTTCTCTTCATGTCCCATGGAGTGGCTCCTGGTGAGGGAGGGGACAGCTCCTTTTAATCACGTGGTGCCTTCACGCTGGGGAATCAGCGTCAAAGGCTTCATGCTCCTGCGAAACACACCATGACACATTTGTGGGGGTTTGTTGCTATTATTGATTTTGCAGAAAAAATACTATCTTATATAATAAAGAGGTAATATGCAAACTGAACATCACTCCAACACACAAGATGGCCGCCCCCATATGAACACAAGATGGCCACCACAAGATGGCCAGCAGGGGAGGGCAGCTGTGGGCAATCATGCCTGCAGGGGAGGACAGTTGTGGGGACTGGGCCTGCAGGGGAGGACAGTTGGGGGGACTGGGCCTGCAGGGGAGGACAGTTAAGGGCAACCAGGCCTGCAGGGGAGGGCAGTTGAGGGGGACCAGGCCTGCAGGGGAGGGCAGTTAGGGGCAACCAGGCCTGTGGGCAAGGGCAGTTGGGGGCGGCCAGGTTGGCAGGGGAGGGCAGTTAGAAGCTATTAGGCCAGCAGGGGAGCAGTTTGGCATCAATCAGGCTGGCAGGGGAATGGTTTGGGGCAATCAGGCAGGCAGGCGAATGGTTGGGAGCCAGCAGTCCTGGATTGTGAGAAGAATGTCCCAGATTAGAGAGGGTGCAGGCTGGGCTGAGGGACACATCACCACCACCACCACCCACATGAATTTCATACCCCAGGCCTCTAGTAGTCTTTATATTACTTTGTAACTTACTTTTAATCCAAGGTGACCACTCCAGCACTAACCTCAACATCTATTTTATACTATTTTTTGTAGTTAAATAATATTTTTCATTGTTTAACCATATTATAGACATTTAAGTTCTCTCTAGTTTTTACTGTGGCAAATAATGCTGCAACAGACAGCTTCATGCAGGTATCTTAGATACAAAAACAGTATTGTTGTTCAGCTCTATGCATATTTCACATTTAATACACATTTCCAGGTGATTATCTCTAATTTGTAGCAACTTGTTCTCAAATGACCAAGTCTGATGATGACTTATTCTCATCACCTATGGATGTTATTGCCTTTCAAACTCTCTTTAAGCTAATGGGCAAAACGATAGAGCATCATTTTCCCCTTAATTTACATTCACTATTAATTCTTTATGTTTAATTTTTAGTTTAAGATAGATTTTTTAATCATATATTTTAATAGAAGAAATATCATTTTATAGAATTTTTTCTTTCTTTTTAAAGATATATTTTTATTGATTTCAGAGAGGAAGGGAGAGGGAAAGAGAGAGAGAAACATCAATGATGAGAATCATTGATTGGCTGCCTCCTGCCTGCCTCCTACTTGGGAATTGAGCCTGCAACCTAGGCATGTGTCCCAAATGAGGGCTCAACCACTGAGCCACGCTGATCAGACAAACATTTTTTCTTATTGTTCTGTGTCCCAGACTGTTATCTCAAAACTATCTCTTTTCAGACTATTTCAGCCATTTCTAGATTAAATTCTACTTTATGGCGACACATTTTAAATAACTTGAGAAACACTTCACCACTGTCCGCCAGTCCTTTGGTTCTGAATCACAGTAGGGTCTTAATTGCGTGGGAACCCTTTCCTTTTTAGGGTTGTCAAAGAACTGCAAATACTTTTACTGGTGAGAAAGATTGTTCCGTAAGATTGGGGTTTCTAAATATAGCACGGCAAGCACGTGTGCGGCTTGCTTTGAGGGCCTCATTACCCAACGTTAAGGTGAATGAGTTAATGATCCAATATTGTCATAAAAGTAGAAGCAACTTATTTGAAAAAAATTGCTCTAGCCGGTTTGGCTCAGTGGGTGGAACACTGGCCTGCAGACCAAGGGGTTCCAGGTTCCACAGCACTCAAGGGCACGAACCTCGGTGCAGGATCCTCTCTAGCCCGGGCCTTGGTCAGGGCTCATGCAAAAGGCAACCAATTGATGTGTTTCTCTCACAGCGACGTTTCTCTCTCTCTCTTTCCCTCTCACTTCCACTCTCCCTAAAAACCAATGGAAAAACATCCTCTGGGGGAGGATTAAGAAAAAAAAGAAAAAAAAGAAAAGAAATCTCTGGGGCAATGAAACTGAGTTTTCCATTCACCCCGGCCGCTGCAGCTCAAGGCACCCCCAAAGGGGAGACGAACTTCCCAGGTTCCCCCCAGAAAGGGCCGCCTCGGAATGGTCTCCTGCTGTCAGGGATGAGGCCCTGCCAGGTCTCCACATCCCGCCCCCAGGGCTCCCCGGGAGGGGCATGGCGCCTGCCGGCGGCCTTGCCAGCATCCTCTGCCGTTTGATGTAATTTCAAGAGCTGGGAAGGGCTTGGGAAGATGTGGTCAGCAGTCCACGCCGCCGGCAGGCAGCCGTGGGGAGTAAGTCTGCTCCCGGGGGCCGCAGGCCTCAGGGCCTTCCCAGTGCGGCCGGCGGGCATGGGGGTCCGGGGAAACGGAGAAGGGCAGGTCGTGGAGCGGAGCAGAGGCGGGGCCTGAGGAGAGGCGGCCGGGATCCGCGAGGCCCTCCCGTGGAGGCCCGGGGGCAGCGCGAGGTCCGGACACGCACTGGGGTGCACAGCGCCACGGGGGCCGGGCAGCGCCGTCCCGGCCGGCTCCACAGCAGGCCTGAGTGGACGCCGCTGGACCCGCCCGGCCTGTGCTGTGTGCCCAGGGCTGTGCGCCGCCCCGGGGGCGCTGCAGGCGGCCGCTGCCTCCCCTCCGCAGTGCAGACCGGGGACAGCAGCAGTGCTCCCATGTGCGCTCACTGCACCCTCACTTT